TTTATAATATACAAATGTTAAACATAATCTTTGATTAAGTAGACTAAAATAAAGCCCGGCGTCGGGACGTGACGACCCCGTCGCCCACCGGTGTATTCCGGTGCAATTAGTCACGGGGGGGAAGGGCCTTGACCTCCTCGTAGTGTCTTGGCCCGGGCTGGGGGTGCAGCCCATGGAGGTGGGTAGGACGAGGCTCGGCGGTGTACACCGCCGCTGCCAAGTTCGGCCCTACGTGTTGGCGGGTGGCCTCGGCCACTGTCGGCGCAGTCCGGCGTCGGGACGTGACGACCCCATCGCCCACTGGTGTATTCTGGTGCAATCAGTCACGGGGGGGAGGGCTGGGGGTACAGCCCTGGGAGTAAGACGGTCACGGATCTGGCAGGAGGCCATCCGTGGCTGTCTTGGGGGGGAGGGGATACTCGGGTCTCTTCGGAGGCCTGAGTTCGCTTGTGGTCGGTCGGTTTCCTCTCTGTCTGCCGTCGGGCGCTTGCGCTCGTCGGTGGGTGGTTGGAGACTGGCCGCGTGGGCTTGGGTGGGAGGGGTAAGGGGTTAACCCTCTCGCGATTAAGCAAGCCCGCCAGGCGGGGGGACACTCCTGGTCACTTGGAGTGAGCCCTCGGGGGGGGAGGTGGCCGTTCGCGGCCCGCCGCCGGATCGTCGCGGATGCATGCTTCGGCGTTTCCCGTGGCGATCCACTTGGCGGCAACGGAGAGTGACCGCTGGTGTTTTAGTGGGTAACATGGGCCCTTCTGGCCGTGAATCCCACATAACCGCCTCTGTCTCCCCTAGACGGAGGGGTAGGTATAAAACCTTACACCGCGATAACAAAAAAAAAAAAAAAAAGACTAAAATAAAATTATGAGACGCTACAAAAGAAATATTTGAATCAACGACTATATACAAACTTCATTTCAAATAATCATATTATACTGTATCTATTTAAATACATATTCTTTAATTTTTAGAAAATGTGTATGAAAAATTACGATCATTTTATATAATAAATCCGTGTAACTTAAAAAAAAATACCTTTTTAACTTATTCTCTAAAGGGCATTAAGATAATTATATGTTCATACTTATCTTATAGGTACTTGAATTAAATTTCAAATATAAAAAAATATTCCAAAAAACTTTTTTCATAGTAGTAATAAGACGTACGTTACCATCAAAATAATCGAAAATATGTACATATACTTGTTTAAAACTCACAAATAATTTATGACGTATTTTATGGATGGACCCTAACAGAGGTTAAAAATATTTAGCATTTTTTTTAAATGGTGTTTGTTACTTACTTTTAAAAAATGAATATACATACATTGAAAGTACAAGTTGTTCAGTTAAAGTATGTAAAAATTAATACTATTAAGGGCAAAGGAACTATTATCTTTATTTATTTGTTATCATATATATATTGGTATATAATACAGATACATAATTAACTGTAAGTCTACATACTTTTAACTTTGCTTAATTGAAAAATTAAACAGAAACTTGTGTATGAAAAATTTTAAACGATTCGATTCATGTGATACCGGTGATAATATTATAAATACAAAAAATAATATTGTTGGTAAACTTAAGACGACGGAAGTTGGAACGATTGTAATCTAACTATACAGGGTGACTGGTGAATTACTATCAATATTTAAGGAGCATACTCGGTACATGATTCTCATTCGAATTAAGTAAAAAAAAAATAGGCACTTAATTTTTGACCAAATTTCCGTATAAATAAAGTGTTGACACGTTCCTAGTGTTCCAAGTGTGGCGTATGTGTGTGTGTGTATACCTAATCTGTAGGGTGTTCACACGATGCGTAATTAATTACATAACTTTTGGTTAACTGTACTTAGAAGTTTATTAATATTTATGTTATATTAATTTTTATTTTGTCGTATATGATCGTAAAATATCACGTCCTCAGGTATCGATAGTAATTCACCAGTCACCCTGTATAATATAGATACATAATTAACTGTAAGTCTACATACTTTTAACTTAGCTTAATTGAAAAATTAAACAGAAACTTGTGTATGAAAAATTTTATACGATTCGATCCATGTGATACCGGTGATAAAATTATAAATACAAAAAATAATATTGCTGGTAAACTTAAGACGACGGAAGCTGGAACGATTATTATAATCTAATTATATATGGATGAAGTCAGATTTTACGAGAAGGAATTAGGAATATATATTATTAAAAACTGTATATAAAAATGGACAAAATCGAGATAAATACATATATGTGTGATAAAAACGAGAGCGGTTTTGGTACAAAAAAAAATATTTTAGATTATTTTGATTAAGCAACGTTTTACGTTCTTTTTTTATTAATTTTTTTTCAGCCTATCAAGCCCACTGCTGAGCAAAGGCCTCTTTTCTCTCATGGAGAAGGTTTTAGCATTAATCACCACGCTTGCTTAAGACGGGTTGGTGATTTCAAACTTATAATTGTGTAATTATAAGTCCAGGTTTTTCACGATGTTTTCCTTCACCGTCTGTCAGTGGTGTCTAAATACTCTTAGAAAGTACATATGACTCGGAAAAATCACATTGGTACTTGCCAGGATCGTACGTTAAACTGAACGAATGTTTTAACTAAAATCGAATTATTTAAATTGTAAAACTTACGCTAGATATTTATTAAAGTACATTTAACACAAGTTTGTTTTAAAAACCTGTCAATGCTATGAAGTGCGAAGATTAATGAATGAAAAACTATTAACTCTACGTATGTAGTAACTATGAAAACTTATTGCAAGCATGCTATGTAGATTTAGAGCATCTGTTTAGCAATCGACAACTCGATACACATCAAGGCACGCGGAACCTGGATTTAGGATATGTTTAACATATAACAATCTCCTTATTAACATAAAAACAAGTACAACTGAAAATAGACTTACGATGTACTACAAATAATAGGACGTAAGAATTAAATTATTATGAATTTATATTATAAATATTCAAAAATTCTCGACGTTTAGTCTTCTACCTGGCATTTTCCCAGCTTTAGCCAGGGTCTGCTTTACATATTGTGAATAATTAGAAAATCCTCGACGTAAGTACACGAAAACTTGGTACTAAAACATGATTTATCTAAATATACTGACAATTTCGTTTGAAACATATTCCGAGTATTTTTATGTAAAAAAAAAATAATGTACAGCACCGGCTGTATTATAGCACAGTTGAATAAGCATACTTTCGCTAAAGCACCACAGATAGAGGTTACCTCATTGCTTAACCGATGTTCAAAGTGTAACTTTAACAAGGTTTTGATTAAACTTTAAAGCTCACCGCAATCACTGAAGCCGAATAACGGAATCTGCGAGGTTGAAACCATTACGTTCATGTGATACGCATCACTGTATGTACTATGTGATAATCAGACTTGGAAAACAGTTTTCCTTTCACTTTGATCACGATTGGTCATATAAAGCGACGTTAGGTCAAAGGTCAGTACATACTGTATGGGGGAATATTTAGATATATTGTATCGAAAGCAATTGTCATTGTAATGTCATTAGTATTAGTATATTTATGACAAAAAAATTTATGATGTTTCATATGTTTAGTGTTTAGTATCAATCAGATATATAATAATCATGTGATTTGTAGAATCATAAAGAAAGTTGCGGACCGGTAAACGCGGCTGAGGAAGGCGCCGACGCGGTCATTGACTTATAGGTACACTGTTACTTTCAAAGGTCGAGAGGCGTGCAGGGCGATCGTGTGACGAAATGACCCGCTTCATTCACATCATAAAATTATATTGCATGCTATATACAATCGTTAAATTATCAAGTTTAAAAAAAAGAAAAAGTTGAAATTTATTTCAAAAAGTATGAATATCAACGGCATTACGCTTGTGCCATAACATTTACGACTGGTCGGTAATGTAAAAAAAATAAAGAAAATAAATTTGAATAAGGAACACGTGCACTTGTGGCGTAGCGGTAGATTATGTCAGGTTGGTAAAAAAATGTTACTTGTTAAGCTTCTGATAACGCCATAAACATCCGTTTCCGTTAACGACAGTGTTATAAGACTTGACTATGTAAACTAACTTAAAGCTCAAGTATGGATAACGGCGCTTTTAATTGCTAAAAACATGTGGACTTAATGCAATACTTTTAGTGCAAAAAAAGGTTTTAAAAATAATATTATCACCTGCCATTTGTGTCATTTGAGGCAGGTGTTTAGTATTCATAATGTCGCCTGGTAAAAAAACATAAGTCAAGGTCTTCGAGTAGATGAATTGGACCAACTGTTACCTTATAATATTACTTGTGTACATTATGTGTGGGTGTTAGTACCATAAAGCATAAACTTAGTATGACCATTGATATATTAATGTTTTTTTTTGATTAATTCAAATTTAGAATAAAAGAAGATATCTTTTTTTTTACTAAGAAGGTTATAATCACTTGTTTAAAATACAAAATTAATTTCACCATGTAACCCAAATGAATAAATTCTTTCTTATATTCCAACAGTCTTTTCTTTCTTGATAAGTTTTTTCATATAATACTTAACAATGAAGAAACATAGTAAAACTATTTTCTCTCATCATCATAAATAAATTTTCACAATATGTGTATGTTTATGTTTCTTATATGGTAATAAAAAAAGGATACAGATACCAATATATGTATATTATATTTAATACAACCTGTAGTGTTATTCGTATATATATATATATATATATATATATATAATATAATAATAAAATAATTGTTATAATAAGTATATAAGTCTTTTGAATATTCAAATTAATAATCAAATATTAATTTAACTATATAATCCTACTAATATTATAATTGCAAAAGTTTATGAGTGTGTGTGTATGTTTGTTACATCTTCAGGCTCAAACAGCTGAAGCGATTTTGATAAAATTTTGTATACAGGAAGCTGACGTCCAGGAATAACACATAGGCTACTTTACATCCCGGAAATCTAGTAGCAGCTAGTAATTAATAATACTCACAGCTCCTCTCGTTGCCTTTGAGACAACACCATTTTCATTGTGGTTGTATTAAACTGGAGACAGTCTTGAGGTTCACTGCACTCGAGTCTCACCGATTCACACAGGTGACGGCAGAAACGCCGTTGCCATTATCACACCTTTATAAAAAAAAAAGATATAATATATATATTATACAGGGTGACTGGTGAATTACTATCAATATTTAAGGAGAATACTCGGTACATGATTCTCATTCGAATTATGTAAAATAAATAGGTACTTAATTTTTGACCAAATTTCCATATAAATAAATAAAGCGTGGACACGTTCCAAGTGTTCCAAGTGTGGACGCGAGCGGCGGCTTGCTGATACAACACTAGGCCGCCACACGTGTGTGTGTGCGTGTGTGTATACCTAATCTGTAGGGTGTTCATACGATGCGTAATTAATTACATAACTTTTGGTTAACTTTACTTAGAAGTTTATTAATATTTATGTTATATTAATTTTTATTTTGTCATATATGATCGTCAAATATCACGTCCTCAAGTATCGATAGTAATTCACCAGTCACTCTGTATAAATGAGTCCTATGTATAAGGACCAATGTAGCATTTTAGTCATCTATTTTTTTGCTTTAAATTATTCATAATACTGTTCTACAACATCCTTTCAAAAGAATGTGTATTTGTTGGTAGAGAGACTTAGTTCTTATTGCAGTAAAAAAGCATAGATAAAACACTTTTTCATGTATAAGGGCTTATATAATGTATCTTATTGGAAAATAAATATATTTAAAAAACAAGAAGCTTTACAAAAAAAGTTTATCAAGCTTAAACAATCATCTTGTATGTCATCCTTGTTATACAAAGTTTCGAAAACATCAGTTGTTGCAAGTACAAGATACATTGAAATCAAACTTAAAACACTTCTACTATAAAATTGACATTTTGAACATATGCTCTTATACATAGAAGCCATTAAGATACTCTATACCACAATATAGTAATTAAATGATGTTAAACTCCTTAATAGGAATAATTTAAAACGAAAACACACAGGAATTTTCTTGGCAGCTGTCTCATCAAGGTCAAGAACAGATGCGGCAGTAATAATCCACATAATATGATCTTAATTGCTTCTGTATATAACAGAATGTATAAATACTTGTAACCTAAATAGTTTTCTGTTAACTTGTAATAATTGTTATAACCTTTTATATAGGGAATATATGTTTGTTTGATGTATTGTGAATATATATGTATAGTATAAAAACTACAATTTTGCTATGTATATGTATATTTCTATTGATAAAACATTAACATTGTATTAACTAAATGATGCATTGAAGTATAACTTACTTCTCTTTTAAGTAACAGATATGTAAATTATGTTTGAGTATTGCCTATTTGTTCTTGCCCTAGTTTCTATGTATCAATGTTAGCTTATTTTATAATTAAAAAGGAAATATTTTATTTTCGGTTATTTTAAATTTATATAATTGCAAAGATATCGTACTTGATATTATACAGTACTGTGTACTGTGGCTTCATGATGATATAATGAGTATTATTCGTTATTTATTTTGCGCGAAAATTAATAAAATTATTAGGATATAAATCAAAATGACTCAGAATAATACGTCAAAAACCATTCTGTCAATATGCCACATCAACGATAGAAAATATATTGTGAATCTCTAAACGTGACGGCATTGAAATAAAACGTATTTTAAGTTAACAATATCTGCAGTATTGATGAAATTTGGCAAATAGAGGAACGGCCATATTGAACATTAACTGAAGTCTGAAAGAATGTCTTTTGATTCTTTTGCAGCTACTGACTTCTTTAGCAAATTTAAATATATTTAAATCATACTTACAAAGCTTAATACAATCTAAATCGCACCTTCGTTTTAATAATAGCACACACTTCAAAACACAATATACACAAGACCCGAGCCAGAAAACCGTTCCGTTGTAATGGCTTATATTCACCCGATTCTATACACTACTACAATTTGACTACAATGGCGAGTTTCGATTTTTCTCCTCCACCTTTTCAGCTAATTCTAAGAGCGCCATCTATATTCTGTTTTAAAAACAAGGGGAGTAATAAATAAAACAGGGCAACACTGGATATAGGACAATAATTAGATTTCTTTTAAATTCGTAAATTACCAAAATGAGTACAAAATTTCTAAAAATACATTTTCTTAAATAATTGACACCTTAACAACAAGTTTTTCTAATTTGAATCAGTTTTGCCATTTACGAAGACTAAAACAAATAGGTATAGTTTAAAGATTATTCTTAAATTTTTGAATGATTCGTAAATATTTTTTAATTCAACAAGTGCAGTTTAAAAATACATATATTCTTATTTAATTAATTCATTTTTGATTTTTCAACAATTTATTTTGCTTAATATTTATCATTCAGAACAATGTAACATCTAAGACAGTTTTAAAACCGATGAACTAAAAATATTTAATTTATTATTTTAAAATTTAATTATGTAATTACCTAAAAAATATAACTTTTTCACGTTTTGTACAATAATTTAAAAATAAATGAAAATAAAAAACAATTGAGTTGTGAACGACAGATAAGGTACTTCGGTAGGTAACCCAACTCAACAAAACAAATGTCCGATTCGTGCGCCCATTTCGTAAGTTCTTCAAACGATAATTTTAATCAACGCCCTTAAAAGTATTATGTTCTAATATATCAGGGCCTACGTTGATTGCTTTACATGTAGTTTAAAAATGTCACATAATTTCTAATTGATATATTTTTTAAAGATTTCTATGGTTTTTTAGCAACTAATAGACCAGTAGGCGAGAGGAATCAAGTTTCATCTTATATTCAAAGTGTTTTCTTATGTGTAAACTTTTTTAAAATTATAAAACATACGACGTAAACTGCTGTTACTACAATTATGCCTTTCTGAAGATGACAGGAAATGAGGTATACCTTTCGCCATGATCTCAGTGTTATGATTGTTTTTATCTTCGATGTGGAACTCGTTCCTTGACGATCGAGTTACGAATGATCACTCTGAGCGAGGTGTGCAATGGTGATAGCAAAGATAAAGAGCGCTAAGGGGGCACAAATGAGTAAAACAATAAAAAATATGGAGTACAACTGGATGAGAGGAGCAATAAATCCAGATCCCCCTAACAATCAAGACGCGGGAGTTCCCAAGGCAGTCTTTATACCTCACTCCAACTCCCTGCCATTTGAGGAACGACATGTCACATTGGAGCATCCGGTGAAGGTAATATTAAAAAATATATCTTATACCTCTAGTTAGATTAATATACACTAAGAAATTAACATTTTCTTGCTCCTATCATTGTTTGTAAATATAATGAATAATTGTATTTAATCATTATCTTTTAATATAGACATACTTCCTTCATTAACATGATATATGGTAAAAGACAGGCAAGTTAAAAGGGATGCAATAATGTATTAATCTCCCTGCTCTGCCCATATTTGTCGTCAATTGAATATAAATTTAAACAGTCTTAAACATTAAAATAAAGATAATTGATGTTATAATAGTCATATCATAAGTTTAGATTCTTAAATCCACAACAAAATAATGCAATTTATGTAATTATTACATTAGAAGATTGTATCTGCATATATTTTTGGTAACATCACTACTACGTAGTACTAACATCGGTATGTCCCAATCTCAAGATATATGATAAGATTAGATTTATATATTTTTAAGATCAGACGGATATCTTATTTATATTTAGGAATTTATATTTTAAACATCATAATATTTTTTCTATATAGTTACTATGGCTATTATTATTTTCAATGTTTATTGAATAAAATTCTGAATTTAAATAAGACTTTTAATCATATGGGCGATTTATAATTTTCTATAATGTTTTCTATAATAGTCAATATTACTTTATATCCATTGAAGTAATATTATTTGTACCAATTTATTTCGTGTCCACATATAAAATATTGATTTAAATGGACAAGATTAAGGTCATTCCGATTACATATAATGTACATTTATTATTTTATTTAGTAGAAATTTATTGGCTTTTCATTTGTTATTATACAAAGGGTTTATATAATGAGCCGATTAATTTAAAAATGTACTCTACTTACAACAAAACATTGTAGCATGCTGGTATTAACATTGTGATTGCATTTATGAATCATGACAAGGATCTAAAGTGGTTGGTCACAAGTCATACATCAATTAGATGAAGACCAATTTAAAATTGTATCCAGCTAAAGCCGATCTCATTACATGAGTGCATGTTAAGTATATATTTAAAATTCGTTTCTAGTACATATGCGTCCTACGTTTTCGTTCTGTATTACGATCATGTCTGTCCGTTTATATTGTCTCAGTTCATGTGAAGTACGATCGTGAATGCAATTAAATTCAATATGTATGTATAAATTGTTTTATTTCTAGCGCAGGCATCTGTTGCGCTTGACGGAAGTCAATTCTTATCATAATGGTTACAGGAAGTTGTATGATTATAGTACGTTGCTTGGATTTCGTTAGAGATGTATGCAGTTTGTAGTTTTTGCTAAGGTTTTATTTTAACAGGTAGTAATTATATTTTTGATCATTAGCATATTCTTGACGCAATCGGATTCGGATGTTGATAATAAATTGTAGTTATAATTATTTCTTTGTGCGTTTAAATTTCGTAAATAACAATGTCAGTGTTTACCTGTTATTTTTACCCTTGAAGGCGTTTAGCGTCTGCAAAAATGTTCTAATGTTACGCGAGTTTTACATAAAGTATATTTATTCTTATATTTTCAATACGTTTAGATAAATAGTATTAATAATTGTGTTTTTGTTTGAATCGGGAATATACGGATACGAAATTAAACGTTTATTTGTTTATTAATATTATCTGTGTATATATTAATTCAAATATGATTCTATAATGAATTTTGTTTATATTAAATGTTATTCCACGTGTTCCAGATCGGTAGGAATGTGTACCGTGCTACACCATCGCCAACGAACACCATATTCGAATGCAGAGTCCTCTCAAGACACCATGCGACTCTGTACTACGATAAGGGACATTTTTATCTATTGGTAAGTATAAATTTATTTTAAGACTATCATTACTTCCTACCAAATTGTTTATAGTCCTTATCAATATGTGCATACGTGTTATTTTTGAATATTTCATATAAATATTCAGACTTATACACTGTTTGAATGTCAGTGATATTACTATATGTAGTGGAGAATATTATATAGATGTATACTTACTTTAAGTTTTTCAAGTTTTTCGTTCATTAATCCTTTCACATAGTATTTAGGTAAGTCATTTATTTAGATACATAAAACGATTCGTATATAGTTTTACGAAAACTCGTATTAAGCGTATGTTTAAATTATATAAACAAATCTCTATGGTGTTTGTGTAATATGTTTGTTTAGTATTATGAAATGAATTGTTTGAATCCACTCTCGCTAACGCCTACAGCTGATTCATATCATGTCGTTTGTACTAACCAATAACCAAAATATATGTTTCATTTGCATAATCTATTATTTTAAATGCCGGTCACATGTCTATATATAGATATTTTGTTATTTATATTTTATTGAAGATATAAAAAGTGTCGTAAAATTATAACCAAAATTTTGTATGTGGGTATAGATTGCGCCATGTTTAAATGCAAGTCCAAAGATTAATGATTAATATTATGTTCTTTAATTAAAAATAATGTTATTTTAATATTATTTCTATTTATTTTGTTATTTAATTATGGCACTTGAAGGTTTAGGAATATAATGCATTTTTATATAACTTCAATATTATGTATACTTTTATAAAGTATCGTAATATAAAATAATAATAATATCGTACGGTATTTAGATAAATCTTAGCCAGATCATGGAATATAATAAAAAAAACAAAAATATTGATTTATTATCTATTATTATTATAAAGCCTAACGTCAATTGAATGCATTCAATGGATATTATTCGTACGGTTCGTGCCCTCATTATGCGCGATACTTTGATTGTTTTTTATTGATAAACACCAGCGTTTCTATCATATAGCCAGTGTTACGTCTTGGTATGCTTTGTTCATGACCAAGGAGTTTATATAACGATATATTTTTTATATTATAGTTATTACCGCCAAATGTCGGATTGGAAATTAAAAACAATGGTTTAAAAGTATTACGTGATTTTGGAGTTTTATTATGTACTAGCTTTCCGCCCGCAGCTTCGGCCGCGTGGGTTTCGGTTATATCGCGTTTCCAAGAGAATCTTTCAGAAGTCTGGGTTTAAAACTATTATATGTTCTTTCTCAAGGTCAACTCTATGTCTGTACCAATTTTCATTAAAATCAGTTCAGTGGTTTAGTCGTGAAAGCGTAACAGACAGACAGACAGACAGAGTTTCGCATTTATAATATTAGTAAGGATGTGTTATTTATTGATTCTGTATTGGATCGGTTTTGTATATAAATTTGTATTTGTTGTTAAATTTGTCGCATCAAAGGTCATATGTTAAGGTCTCTCGTAGTAGCTGGACATTATGAAGATCTTTTAAATATTTGTTTGAACTATAGTTATAATGCTATATCATACTATTAATTTCTACGGATTTGTCTGCTGTTTAAACGTTTGCTATAATCCCTCTATCCTGTTTTTTTTTGACAAAAATAGTCGTCTTTCTAAAAATTTAATTTATATTTAGTGATTTTTTAATACAGAAACTTGAAAGCGTAATTTAATTAATATTGGCCTTTAGAGTTTATTGGTCGTAAATACAAAGTATAACAAGTGTGTAAAGAAAAATTATGTAAATAATATTGTCTTATGTCACGATCAACGGCTTAAGAGACTTCGTCTCGTTTTATATGTCGCAATGAAATAATACTTTCACATTTATTATAATTAATTAATACAGCCTGTAAAGTGTAAGTGGCGGTACATCTGTAGTATTGTACGTAACAGGTTGTGCCAAATTAAAAACAGGTTTAGACGTCCTCTTGATTGGTGTTGAGTTTCACAAGTACACTTTATGTACCTGTAGCCTAAGTATGAACCTACGTCGTTCGTTTAACGTATATTTTAACGTTTTTCCATGCGATATTCATATATACTGTTGGATAAAAACTTCGATTTGCCGGTTTTATTTGACGCTGCGAGCTCGTATTAAGCGTTCCGACGTCTACTTGTAAGGCCTCAGATTATCATGAATTTCGAATCCCAATAGTTTTAATGTTGTTATGTGATGGATAATTAAGTTTAGTAGTTTTCATTAATCGGTAAAAAATGTTCATAAACTTTTTTTGGTATGTAATTTATATAATCGTATATGTATATTGTTTTTTAAATCTATATTAAAAGACTTACATCCATACTTATTATTATTATATAGAATGTATATGACATTAGAACCTTCATGTAACATTAAGCTGAGAATTTTTTTTTAAAATTCTATGTTTCCATTAACTAGTGTTTATATTGAAGAAGAAAAAAAATATACAGAAATGAGGAATGAGAATCGACCCATTTAATAATTTTTTTGGGATACCAATAACGAAGATAATTTAATTTTAATAATACAAAATAACCCCCCCCCCCCATGGGGAAAAAAGTATATTTCGTCCTCTTTAAACACACCAAAACCTCGGTTAGTCAAAATCTCAAGTCTATGAGTCGATTCAACGTACAAAACATTGTGATAAATATTTTCCTAGTATAACCCGAAGAATTCTTAACACAGATTCTCCATCATAGAGATGTTTCGCAACGTTTGCAACTCGATAATCAAAGACCATAATTTCTAATCTAAATCCATTAGTAGAAATATACCATAAGCTATCAACTCTTCCTGATATTTATAATAATTAGATTTAAATATTCTTAGGACAATGAGAGCAGCAACGGGACGTTCGTTAACAACAACCGTTGCACGCTCACCAACACGGAGCCGCACGAGGTGTTCTCCGGGGACGTGGTGCAGTTTGGGATACCCGTAGTTGAGAATACTGCTAACTCGGAGAAGGTGATGCACACACACACACACACACACACTCGCACGCACGTACACACACACACGTACACGCAACGCACGCACACGCAGTAATATATGTATCTATCAGCTTTGAACTATTCTTGAGTATTGTGAAAATGTTAAAATAAGTCATATCGGTCTTAAATTCTGTTAAGCCTTACCTTTATTCCATTTTCCTGAGACCAATCAATTTGTCTGTTATATTAATTATAACAATCGGTACATAAAACTGCAACTTGTGTCATTACACAAAATGCATAAAAGCTGACCCACTGACAAAAAAATATATTTCGTCTACCCGTGATTACGGTTGCTGAAAAGTAACCAAAACGTCGGAAGTATGCAGTTTCAAAAATAACAAAATAATCTGAAAACATAAGTTTCATTTAAATGAATACTCGCGAAAGTCTTATATCTCATTAATATCCTTTAATTAATAATTTAATATACGTATTTCCAGAACCCGTTCCCACCAGTGATAGCTCTGTTGAAGCTGTACCACCCTGACGGTAGTGAGGCCCAGCTGTCCTTCAACCCCTCAATGACTACACCGCTACATCTCAAGGAACTATACCAATTGAACAACTTTGTTCAGGTAATATATTAAATTATTATATACTACCTGCGCCCCGCGGTGTTACCCGCCGATTTCCGGGATGTAAAGTAGCCTATGTGTTATTCCTGGACGTCAGCTTCCTGTATATAAAATTTTATCAAAATCGGTTCAGCCGTTTGAGCGCGAAGAAGTAACAAACATACACACACAAAGTTTCGCAATTATAATATTAGTAGGATTATTATATATGAGTTGGCTCTGGAAAAAAAATTTAAAGACCAATGAGGTTATAATGTTATTAAAGAATTCATATAAGACTCCAACAAGCAATCTATGGAATTTTATGTCCAATTTCCTTGCATTTGAGCTATTGTGACGTACGATCTACTTATTCATTCAAACAAGTATTTAGATGAGTTATCATTGCAATTTCAAAAAATATTGATACTTTGTTTTCCTCAGCTTTACAGTCCGAGTTATAAAGTCCACATAACAATGGTGGAATGATAGAATTTCATTTGTTTTATTAACTATCACATATATTTGTTACAACTGACATAAATAAACTACAGATATATGTATAACTGCAAATGAACTTTAACCAATATATCATGACTTTCCAGGAGGCGATACAACGCGAGGCTTCGTTAGAAACACGTCTACGGACGTTAAGGGAGTGCGTTGAAAGGACGAGGTCTGAAGCTGCGGCTTCATGGGAACTATTCGTGGGGGAACAGCGGCTTCTGATGAGGGTTCATACTCTGGAAGCCATGTTAGCTGCAGGGAAACATCCCGACGAAGTACAGGTCGCACAGCTGCTGAGCGATAAGAGGAACTATCAGGTGAAATACTTAGTATAGTTCGTAATAAGGAAATATAACGGCTAGAGTTTTAATTATAAATGCGAAAGTAACTCTGTCTGTCTGTCTGTCTGTTAAGCTTTCACGCCTAAACCACTGAACTGGTTTTAATGAAATTTGGTACAGATATAGAGTTGACCTTGAGGAAGAACATAGGATAGTTTTTATCCCAGACTTTTGAAAGGTTATCTTGGAAACGCGATATAACCGAACTCCACACGGGCGAAGCTGCGGGCGGAAAGCTAGTAAATTATAAAACAGAAATGCATATGAACTATTATAATAGTTAATTATCGCTGAATGACGATTGACGTAATCAGAATGCAATAAATAAGTTTATTTTAATATCGTCATAAAAATCAATATTAAAGACATTCTATTATCAGGTTTCTCTATTGGAGCAAATTAAAGTAAATATTTGAATTATAATTTAAAAAATTAAGAAAACTCATTATATGTATATGTTCGAAACCTGTTCGCCTAAACATTTTGATTCTATATTTTCTATTTAATTTTAATAATAACTATTTCTGCTTGTTTAAAATCAACATATTATAATTACAATATTTATGGAATATTTATTTATGTATCGCGTATATACATTGTATCTATTTTTTTATGTATTAAGTAAATTGTACAGCCTTACCATCCTATCTCTCTCCACTACCAAAGTTGCCTGGAGGAGATCGCTGTTTTAGCGATAAGGCCGCCTATTGTACATTTTTCTTTTCTTTTTTGTTTTGTTTTACTCCTATTATTTTTGTCTATATTGGTGTGCAATAAAGAGTATAGAAAATAAATATATATAATGTTTTTTATAATTATTTACTTTACAGGAAGTGGCGCAAGAGAGTCTTCGTATGGCGCACGAACAACGTCTGTCTCTTGAGGAATCTTTGGAGCGTCGCAGTAGGGAAGCAGCGGCATTGCATCATCAGAACTACGCCTTACATTTAGCCGCTACAAACGCTATGCAAGAATTGCAAGTACGTCCGGGTGAACTAACTAGTGACAATATAAAGTCGTATTTTATATCTATACTAATATTATAAAGCTGAAGAGTTTGTTTGTTTGTTTGAAAGCGCTAATCTCCTAAACTACTGGTTCGAATTGAATAATTCTTTTTGTATTGGATAGTCCAGTTATCGAGGAAGGCTGTGGGCTATATAACATCACGCTACGACCAATAGAAGCAAAGATATAGTGGTAAATGTGTAAAAAACGGGAGAAATTATTTCATCTTTGCAGCCTTCCGTTGCGTGCTCCGTGAAAACGGTTCAAGATACAGAAAAAATATGTATTAAAGAATAATAGCTCTTTTAATTATCTAAAAAACAGTCCACGACAGTATATGTCTATCTTTTAAGATTAACTCACAAAAACCGTTTTTATGGTACCTAATTTGGTCGAAATAATTTGTTTAAGTTGTATCAACATAATAATATTAATCTTTATTCAAATAAACAAATAAATATGTTGTTGGTTAAGAGTACTTCATTGTGAATTAAAAAAATATATAAGTTTTATCCTGAAAATTCTACGGGAACTCGACCATTCCGAAAACCCCGCAAGAACGGGAACTGTGAGGGAAGACCCAAAAATCTGCCGGATGTCACTATTCCACGCGGACGAAGCCGCGGCAAAAGCTAGTTTATAATATAACACAGAAATTGTTATGCATATATACATACATTACACTATTTTTAACTCAAAAACGGTTGTACGGTTTTTGTTGAAAATTGGTTAAGAGATATTAGAAGAAAGGAAAGGATATAGGTCAGCTAGTATATAATATAAATATCCCTAGTTAAATTTTTCACTTGAATATATTTAAAACAAATAATGTTTATTTTCATTTCAGAAATTGGCTGCTCGCTGTGAGCGTAAGATGTGCGCGGCGAGGCTCGCAGTGACTGCGGCAGAGGAAAGGGAACAGGCGCTTAGAAAACATCTACCACTAGCGGTTAATATATGTTTAATATATAGAAAAATACATTAACTAACAGCGAAAATAAAAGAATTATGAAATTAATAAGCTAATTGACATAAATAATGCTTAATTTTACATATTGAGAATGATCAAGGAAAAGTTATTGAATTTGTTTAATAACTGTATTGTTGTATTATATTCTTTATCTTTAACTAAAATGGTCTGTTATGATCATGTTAATAGTTTTTTCAATCACAATAATGCCGAAAACTATATATTATCTGGAATAAGAATATGTTTGATGATTATATCTTACTCGGGTAGCAGTTATAATTTTCTAAAAATAATATTAACTAATAAACCACTTCTCAATACTCGAATATGTTACTAATCTACTCACACACATATGTATATAGATTAAAATATACTACATATATGTAATTTCTATATAATGTATGTACTTAAAATTATAATATATTTAATTACAGTATTCGGTACAAAACGGCGAGGCGAAAATGTTAGTAGTGAGTACAGACAGCAACAAACTGCAAGAAGCTAAACGAAACGGCTCCTTGGAGGACGCGGTCCGCGCCCTGCCCGACTACATCAAGTTATTGCTGCCACAAAATCTGCTTAATAAGGTACATAACTCACTCCACAATCATAGATCTCTGTCAAACCCAAGTTTGGAGTTTTTTAAGGTCATTAGGTGTGGGCAAAACTACTGTAGCCTGCCCCAGTCCCGCTGACCTTAATACATTAAATTATTTCTTTTCTAGCCCCCCCATTACTGTAGATTCCGAAACGAAATCAGATACTCTTTCTTATCTATCTTCTCTTGAACCACCAAACTGTCCTTCTTTCTTTTTTCAGTTAGTCTCTGAAGATGTTATCAAGAAGTGTGTCCGTTCTATTTCCACCAAAGCCATTGGCAGCGATAGTCTTAGCCTTAACATGATTCTTCCAGTGTTGGATGATATTGCACCAGTGCTCACCCACATCATAAATTTTTCACTATCGTGCAATGTCTTCCCGACACTCTGGAAGAAGGCTATCGTTATACCTCTTCCCAAAACCGCCAATCCTACGTCTATGTCCCAATACCGTCCTATATCTATCCTCCCTATCCTTTCTAAGGTCATTGAGTCCATTGTGCACGATCAACTTTACTCCTTCCTTACAACTTACAACCTGTTATGTCCTTTCCAATCCGGTTTTCGTTCATCCCACAGCACTGTTGGTGCTTTGCTGAAGATAACGGAGGATGTGCGGTGTGCTATGGATAACACCAAGCTCACTGCAATTGCTCTGTTGGATTTCAGCAGCGCCTTCAACTCCGTTGATTTTGACATACTTCTTGGTACTCTTCGTGCAGTCAACGTCTCTCCTCTTGTTATTAACTTGTTTCATTCATACCTTTTCGGACGCCAGCAGTGTGTAAAAACCGACGATACCTCGTCAAATTGGTTAGAGCTCACGGCTGGTGTTCCTCAAGGCGGCGTACTTTCTCCATTACTGTTTTCTGTTTTTATTAATAACATTTCCCGAATTATTACTTCTCCCTTCCATCTGTATGCAGATGATTTACAGCTTTATCGACATTTCAGTTTGGCTGAGCTGCCCAGGGCTATTGATTTGTTAAACATGGACCTGTCTGCTATACAGTCGTGGGCTAAATCGTTTGGCCTTCTTGTGAATCCCAAAAAATCACAAGCTATAATTGTTGGCAGCAGCAGGCTTAGAAGCAAACTAGACTGGGGGCTAGTCCCCAAACTAGTTTTTGACGGGGTTCCAATTTCTTACTGCGATTCAGTAAGGAATTTGGGTCTTATTATTGACTGTTATATGTCCTGGGTAGCCCAAGTCAATGATGTTAGCAAGCGGATACACTACACTTGCCACTCTCTCAAACGTCTCCAATACTTTCTCCCTTTCAGCACAAAAATTATGCTAGCGCAATCTCTTCTTCTACCGATCCTCGACTACGCTGATGTGTGCTATTTGGATGTGACTGAGGAGCTACTTAATAAATTAGAGTGTCTTCAAAATCTGGCTATTCGGTTTATTTACGGCCTACGTAAATATGACCATATATCTGCATTTCGTACTCAATTTAAATGGCTCCCTATCCGCCTTCGCCGTGATATGCACATCCTTTCGGTCCTTTTTAACATTCTTAATGATCCAAATTCTCCTTCTTACCTTCGCTCCCGTTTCAACCTTCTCCCGCCTCCAACACGTTCCAGACGTTCCTGTATTACTTCAGAGTTAGAAGTGCCCAGAAGTAATACAAAGTTTCTGCATAACTCTTTTTCTGTACGTGCAGCGAACCTCTGGAACAATCTCCCAAAAACCATCCAAAAGAGTCCTAACATTGGCCTCTTTAAAAAAAGAGTAAAAGGGCACTTTCTGTCACAATTGTTATAAAAGTGTCAAATTAACTAATATATATGTATATATATATTATTTTTTTTTTCACTGTTGTATATATATATATATATATTTATATATATATATATATAATATTTATGTATTTAGATGTTGTATGGGTATGTATGTATTTATTATATTATTATAGTATTTATTATATCATGTGTTTTATTGAAATTGTTTTTTTTTTATATATTATATTATTAAGAGCATTATATTGCACAATGTTTTACCTGCTAAACACACTAACTCTTACAGCTGTGGCTTGGCTGGAAGAGATTTCTTTTAGAAATAAGCCCGCCTTTGTACACAATAATTATGTTTTGAAAATAACCTTTGTTAATTATTTAATGCAATAAAGAGTATATATATATAACTTATTTATATACTAGTTAGATGATTTATGAGGTATTTACATAAGTCACATATACAGGGTGACTGGTGAATTACTATCAATATTTAAGGAGAATACTCGGTACATGATTCTCATTCGAATTATGTAAAAAAAATAGGTACTTAATTTTTGATCAAATTTCCGTATAAATAAATAAAGTGTGGACACGTTCCAAGTGTTCCAAGTGTGGACGCGTGCGGCGGCGTGCTGATACAACACCACGCCGCCGCACGCGTGTGTGTGTGTGTGTGTGTGTGTATACCTAATCTGTAGGGTGTTCACACGATGCGTAATTAATTACATAACTTTTGGTTAACTTTACTTAGAAGTTTATTAATATTTATGTTATATTAATTTTTATTTTGTCATATATGATCGTCAAATATCACGTCCTCAAGTATCGATAGTAATTCACCATTCACCCTGTATATAATAATTAAGTATTTCCATAATGGTACTTGCAGAAGTTGTATTAGTTGTCAGCAAAAGTCGCTCATATACAAATATGCTCTTACTAGCAATTTTGGACATAACTTATATGCTTTATAGTCTTTGACCATGTTGGAAATAAAACATTTTTATTTTACCACTTAGAGACTGAAGTGTAAATCACACATTGACCTCCATCGAAAACTTTTTAAATCTTATTTATAGTATCCATGATCATTTATAAAATACTTTCTTCTTGAAACAACATATTATGTATGTTATTATTTTTTAAATATTGTCATTGAATATCTAGGTTGGCATCAAAGCTGTGTCTGCAGAAGGGAAGTCAGCCAAGGAGTTTGAATTAATATTGAAGAAGAACAACTTGCATAATTCTGAAGGCAGAGGTACAGATGATATTTTTTTAACATTTTACTCGTGAAGTTTGTTTCTAGAAACCAAAACGAAAGTATAATATTTGTGAATCGTACAAATATAGTAGGAAAATTGTGATAAAATAAATACATTTAATTTATTTTTACATATAATTTTATTATTAATTACAGAAAAACAAGAAAAGGAAGAAGGCGGTGTCGGCGGCAGCGGAGAGAAGTCTCCCGAGGCTGATCTGTGTACAGACGATGAGAAACATTCGAGACTCAACCATGGTAGGGGAGATATATACAAATATTACCAATTAATAAACACAAAATATTACCAATTAGTATGTCTTACAAGAAGTTCATCATACATTCATATGTTTTTTTTTAATTATTTACTTAGCTGTACTTTATGTTTCAAGCTTCTTGTATTTATTTAAATGTTTGGTTAGAGTTTTAAATTAAACAAATTTCTACAAATATTGTTATATGTTAATAGAGTGACCTTAAGACAATATTAATGCATTGAGTCCTAGATTATAATTGACATTAGGTACATCAAATTATAGATGTAATATTGTAAGTTGAAGTTAGACTATAAAAAAAAGCGATAGCTGAAAAAAAAAAATCTACTAACTTTGTTGTTTTAATAGTAATTCCTATACATGTTGAGAAGAAATTTAAAACTATAAAATGTCCTCCTTCTTCCTAAGTTATTTTTTTATATTATTATTTTTAATTGACCGACATTAATATCAATGAGTTATATTGTGAAGTAGAAAAATACAAAAGAAGTGTAAGTGTTGATTTTCTGATATGTAATGTTTCAGATGGTGGTAATGAAGAATCCTTGAGTCCATTGGATGGTGAACTACGTCCTGATAATAATGCTAATTCAACTTACAACGACGCTGATATCAAAGAAGACTCACCGGTGAGTAGTGACATACTTATATATACATAGACATACACACACAAGGCTGTATAAAATACAGGGTGACTGGTGAATTACTATCAATATTTAAGGAGAATACTCGGTACATGATTCTCATTCGAATTATGTAAAAAAAAAGGCACTTAATTTTTGACAAAATTTCTGTATAAATAAATAAAGTGTTGACACGTTCCAATTGTTCCAAGTGTGGACGCGTTCGGCGGCGTGCTGATACAACACTACGCCGCCGCACGCGTATGTGTGTGTGAGTGTATACCTAATCTGTAGGGTGTGCACACGATGCGTAATTAATTACATAACTTTTGGTTTACTTTACTTAGAAGTTTATTAATATTTAATGTTATATTAATTTTTATTTTGTCATATATGATCGTCAAATATCACGTCCTCAAATATCACGTCCACAAATATCACGTCCACAAATATCACGTCCTCAAATATCGATAGTAATTCACCAGTCACCCTGTATAAGTTCCATTCTGAGTTCATTTCAATATTAATGAACTACATAGTTAAGCAGTTCAGCTTTGGTTGTATATTTATTTAACGAAGTACGAGTTTGTAGAAGTATGATTATTCTACATGATATACTCTACATTGTTTTAAATATTACGAAGTATTTACTAGTTTCACAATTGTAAAATAGTTAAATTTTGATTAGACACACATTTGTTCGATGGAATTGATTAATCTTTAAGTTATTTAAATGTTCTTATTCAACAATCAACATCATATAACAATAATCTAAATGATATAATTTCAGAGTAAAGCCGGCGTCGAGTACGCTAACATTTTACGTGTGATGGCCGGTCTGAACGAGGAGATCAAAGTGTTGAGGGAGAGGGTGAGCGTCGCCGCGGCGGAGAACGAGTCTCTACGGACTGTGAGGGACGAACTACTGGCGGCTAGGGACGAGCCGCGGGCTGAAGATAGCGAACACGACGCGGCCGCTTATAAGGCTAGGATCACTGAGTTACAGGTACGTAACGTAACGTTACACTGAGTTACAGGTACGTAACGTAACGTTACACTGAGTTACAGGTACGTAACGTAGCGTTACACTGAGTTACAGGTACGTAACGTAACTGACTTGCCTTTGAGAATTATATAGTCTTCGGGTAATGTTAAGAGGTAAAGTTTTTGAGCTGCCTATATTAGAGATTTAAAATTGCTATAGTCTTCTCGGAGATGCTAGTAGATTATGTTTTGACCTGCCTATATCAGGCCTTTGAGAATTCTATAATCTTCTTGCTAATGCTAGTAGTTAAAGTTTTTGAGCTGCCTATATTAGAGATTTAAAATTGCTATAGTCTTCTCGGAGATGCTAGTAGATTATGTTTTGACCTGCCTATATCAGGCCTTTGAGAATTCTATAATCTTCTTGCTAATGCTAGTAGTTAAAGTTTTTGAGCTGCCTATATTAGAGATTTAAAATTGCTATAGTCTTCTCGGAGATGCTAGTAGATTATGTTTTGACCTGACTAATTCAGGCCTTTGAGAATTCTATAGTCTTCTTGCTAATGCTAGTAGTTAAAGTTTATGAACTGCCTATAAGCATGGTTTTGAGATTTCTATACATACCGTCCATATAAAACTCCCGTTGTGATTCCATTTTTTTAGTATTGTACTAACCTAACGAACAAGATATATATGTCCTAAGATGGGTCCGACAATAAAAACTGATATTACGAATGTGCATATTTCTTTACCAGATGAAAGGTGGCAAGAGTAGTATATAACCCGAACATTAAATGAAAAAATATTTGTATGTAATTATAAGTACACACATGTATGAAATTTCGAATACTAATTTCTATTTTCAACTTTTTATTCAATATAAAATATTAAGTTACTTTGAATTACAAAACACTTTTTTTTTGGTTATTTTAATTTATTTGAGGTTTATCATGCGATGTGTGTGCCCATAATATCTCGTGTGCTTCAAATGGACTAACTCTAACTGACATGCCGCAGGTGACTACTAACATTAGCTCAGCTACCATAAAAAGGGTGGTTTTGAGGTGTCATTTTAAGTTTTGATTTGCTAAGAAAAGTATTTTAGTTATTAACACATTTGGTCTGTTTTTCCTGGAAAAATATATGAAAATTAATTGAATTTGTATATTACCTGTTGCTAGTGCTGACAAGCCTTTATAATCGACGATTCAGTCGCGATATAGTAACAATTTGTTTTAATTTTAAGAATTTAAATCGTAGCGTAGAGTTGCCTTCACGTATTTTGGTAAGCGACAATAGATGCACAGAACGTTACTAGATGTCCTAGGCATGTGTGAACGATTGGATGTTCGCTTTCGAGTAAACTTGCGAACATTTAAATTTGAACCATTTTTTTGTTACTGCTACGAGATTTTAGTTTTGTTAAGCACCAAAAGTAACTACTTTTTTTGTTGCACTAGGTGTATATTTTACAAACATATCCCCACTGCGCCAAAACCTTGACAATAGACATGCCAGCAACTATACATAGCCACTATTTCTTAAATTATATGTTCCTCCTTCAAGGGCAGTTGATAATTTGTTTAATCTTATGAGCTGTCTTAAGTATATTAGTACTGCTTTTATGTTATTCTGTTAATATGTATTAACACAAATAATTGTCCAACAGGAGCAACTGACACGGTCTACAGCCACTGAGGAGGCGAATCTCGCCAAGATCCAGCGACTGACGACAAACGCGGCCGAGATGCAGGCCGAGCTCGCGTTCAGACCTACCAGGGACGACATCGACGACCTCACTACTATGGTGGGGAAATTAAGGGCCGAGGTCATAGAGAGAGATGACGTCATACAGAGATTACAGGCGCAGCTCACTGAGAGAGCTGAAACTATGGACCGAGCTGTAGAGACGAGCAAGTCGCTGGAAAACATCAAAGAAGCGGTGGACGACATTGATACGAAACAGATATCGGCTGACATAGACGAGATGTTCAGACTGGACTACGACGACGATAGTGACTCCGCGACCACCGAGATACACAGGGACGAGGAAATGAGCGAATACGTGAAGATGGACGACGACGAACGGCTCAAACTCACTATGAGGAACGGATCCTTACACGCGCTGGAGGAGGAGCTGGTGCGGGCCAAGGAACGCTGGGCGGAAGTGTGCGCAGAAAGAGCCAGGCTTGCATCACAGCTCGCCTCCGCGCAGAAACCACTCAGATTCGACTTATTTCACGCGCTGGCCTTAGCCCTACCATTAATGCTGGCCTGCCTGTACTACATGCTGCTGCCCTATCTATCTTGATTGACGGCCACATGGGACCCGCCCGGATATAACTAGCGATGTGCCTCACACGAACTTTGCTCATATATTTTCTACCGGTTTTTGATTGAGTGACGATTTGATCCGTTCCGCCTCCGCCACGTCAAATCTTCACAGCTGTTGCGAATGGCCGATGTGGTTTTTAGAGTAATTTAGGGTTTATTAAATAGTTGTTTCGTTCGCTGTTGACTTCCGTCGAGGTAGTCGTTGGTCGCAGCGCGTCGCGGAGGTAGTCTGATAGTGCGCTTGCATAGAGTGCCATTGACTCGAGTGTGTTGCGTCTCGTGAGATACTGGAGTTGTTTCTGTCTAATGTCAATATCCTATTGATAGATGTAATAAATTTGTTGTTGATATCTGCCATAATAATAAACTGTACATTTCTATGGTTAAGGCCTAATGACTGTCTTGAGCTGTAAAATTGATTTGTAATGTGCTATTTAAAAACGATTTAAATGAAAATACTAAATAAACTGTCGTACAAATGTTCGATTATATATATAAATAAATGATTTTGGAGTTCGTTGAAAAATTTTTGGATATTGATATATTCGAATGTGTTCATCGTTACATAAATTTGGTATGTGGTCTGTAGCGAGCGTTTTCTTGTTCTAAGCGAGCTTTTTTGGACAACACGTTACTAATTATCATCGAGCTAAACATATCATTCTGTGTGCAAGTCTCGCTCGTAAAGCGGACGAGGCTATGAATATTTTGCATTTTTCTAGTCTTAGTAACGTTTCTTTGCTGTTTTCTGTTACACGTTGATACTGCTTTGATTTGTTTTAAAAGAACTAAGTCTATACGGAATTACTACAAGTTTCTGACATGACTATCAAATATATAAGAGAGTAGTCTCATAGATTTTGATACTTGATAGACGCGATGTATTTGTTGAACGAACGCACCGGCATATGTTAGCGTTTTGAGTTTTGCTGTTGTTTTAGTTTGATTAGTCGTTTAAAAAAACTGTTTTAGTTAAAGTCTGGTCACAAAAACGCCTCGGTCTTTCACGATGTACTCAGACGTCGTTTGCGCAAATATTAAATACTGTGACATATCTACTCACGCTTGGTCATACGATGTTTTGGACTCGTGTTGGAGCTAGCCTCGCTGTGATGGGAAGGCCAATAGAGAATTATGTAACAGAAGTGTATTACTAACAAATTAATTATATCCTTAGATTATCATTAACTTAACCACGTTGGATCACTATCTTAAAGTATATTTATTTTTTATTGTTGCACTGATTATTATTTTTTTTTGTTACGTTCAATGTTTTATTTTGCGTTCAGACCACCTTATTGTAAATAGTTTGTACTCCTAACGTTTAGTTTCTCGATGTCGATGAGTTTATGTTGTATTTTATGGAGGAGAACATTCAATGTGGATGTACTGATAAATTTATTGGAAATAATATTGATTTGTTTAAAAAAAACTAATGTTGTTTTGAGTTTACCCCGACTTGTTATTGCATAGTGACGTAGTGTGGACGTGACACTTGTGTTAAACAGGTGTTTTGCATGACATAATTGAATTTATTTTGGTCAACTTCTTTTATATTTGATATAAATAACCAAATATATTAAGGTAGGATAGGAGGGATGTAATTATTGTAATTATAGATTTTGTTGTATTTTCATAATGAAATGACGAGAAGTTTCCTAACGCTTTTTTGTATAAAAAAGGGGAAAAGTATTCTACAAGTAACCTATAATTCTACGAGATTTTAACTAATCGATTGAAATATTATTATTGAATATGTAGTCATTGTTGACTAAGTTAAATAAGGACTTAGAAAATCTCCACAAAAGATGTTGGTAGGCCCTTTGAAAACATATCTTAGAAAAGTTTGGAACTGTTTAACTTCATATACTTCGAGCTTAATTCATATATGTTTAAAAGTTTTTGTGAAACTGCTTTTTTTAAGCCTATTTAACAATTATCATAGAAATTGTTAACAAAAATTGTTTTCATATGCATATAAAGTTGGTCTCAATATTTATCTCGCCTTTAAAATGCTGAATTACAACTGGCTTTCGCGCTGGATAGATACACTTGATTGTCAGACCCTGGCTAAAGCTGGGAAATTGCCAGGAAGAAGAAGAGATACACTTGATGGACTGCAAGAAGCCAAGGAGCGGGATAAGATTTAACCTTTATAAGTGCACTAGTTTCAATGAATATTCTATTTCGATAAGAAGAAATAATTACCATAAAATAAGACAACCCTAAATATATCTAAATACGTTGATAATGCATTACATTGTTAAATGAGCAAAATAATATGAGTTTCTACAAATGTTGCCCTTTAAACTACTTCACACTTACATAATAAAAGATTTTTAAAGTCTTACAAATAAGCAATTTTTATAGAAAACAGTACCTAATAGTTCAAACAAACAATTGAAAATCAAATGCCTTCGTAAAGTTAATAGAATGCATAATGTTTAAAGTCTCAATATTTTTAGGAAGATCTCGATTCTTTAAACCAGATTCCAAGACATTAAATTTAAAAGTGACAGGAGAAGTGCAACCCGTACTTGATGCTAGTGACGTCATAGTACACTATGTTGTACTGTGACGTATTCTTATAGCAGTCTCTGTTTTTAAGCTATGGTTTTTTCGCACTGGTTTTATGGAATATTTGGCCAATTTCAACGTTTTTTTTTTGATGGACGGATTATAATCTTTAGGACGTGTGGAAAAAACACTAGTCACTGTTGAAATTGAAAATTAAATAAAATATTTCTAAAAGTCATTTTATACGCTGACAGCTTCATTTTCAGGATAGTTTTTTTTTTAGCCTAGAGTTATAGTGTAAGTACACCGTTAATTTTGAAAAGATCTGGTGGGGTTTGGAATTAAAGTTTAAAAGAAAATAATTGTTCATAAATTCAAGAAAATAAGGATAAAGATGTACACTTTTAGAAGTAAAATACCTTACACCTACCAAACACGAAAGGAAATCGTCGTGAAAGCTAAAAAATATGAAGAGAAAAAATCTAACGAAGAAAAAGTCTACTTGATAACGACGATGGACGACGCATATTATAATATGTATTTATATACACATTCAAAGAAAAAGAGAAAGATTTTAAGCTTTTGTTGCTACACGTCTAATTAGAGTTACAACAACTGCTCGTTCCCACAGTGATTTGTGTAATTTCAATTATAAAACTTTAAAGCAGTCTATGGTATTAAGAATTACCACCCAATGTTAAAACTTTAAAAGTTTTTTCCTTGAATTAAAACTATTAATTGACAGATAAAACTTAAAAACAGAGATTTTTTATTTCAGTGACGTTGTTTTGACATGTTAAATGCTTTTCACATTATTGTGTTAAAATAAGAATTATAAATTTTGCAAAAACGCTATATAAATAAATATATTTATCTTACATTGATTCACTATGGACAACATTCTTTAATACTTAAAACCAACAGGAATGCTTTTCTTTTTCCGATAGTCTTAATTTGTTTTTCTCAATGTTGCTAGTATACGTATACTATATAATTACCTAGTATGATTATTTTGATGGCCATTATTGGAAATTTTCTTGGTATTTTTTTAATATGATTATTTTATTCTTTACATAACTCTTACCTTGTATCCTCTGTGGACATCACCAGTCGTAATATAAATTATAATTGCATCAAGTCCCTCTCTTTCCGAACAGATAATAACAAATTAATATATGAATAGATTATATTCAGTATAATACGATTCACATGTTTTGTAATATGAAAGCGACAATTTGTTACTAGGAGTTTCATTGCTGCTTTTGTTTCCTTTTCCCTCCTTTGTACCAAACATCTTAAATTGTAGCGAATTTTAGTTGCACATATACAGGAATGATATATTTTTGTGCCAACTATCAAAAGAGGTTGTTAAATGTTCCTCGCGTCGAGGTTACCTTACGTATATTTAAAGTGACTTGATATTATAATTGGTGTTCTGCATTTGACAATACGAATATCTGTTTACAGCATATAAAAAAGCTTTCTCTATAAAATAAGGAACAACTTTTGAGTATTTAATTGATTATGAGAACTAAAAACAAGAGTAAATCTGTTCAAATAACTTTACATATTTACAAAAGTCAAAAGTTTTCGTACTTTTATTTGAATTTCCGTTGCAAAATAAAATTTGTTGCATTAGGTATAGATTAATGAATACATTTTGAGAAGTAAACTGGGTTACTTTGTGATCATTACTCCTTTTAACTAAGACACCTTATACCAATAAAGGCTGAATTAATAAAACAACAGAAATGTTGTTAGTCGTTGTAGTACTGTCACGTCACATTGATGATTGAATTCATGTAAATTTTGTTAAACTGTAATTTTACATCACCTTAAGCACTCAAGTCACTTCTCAAATCGTATATTATCTTCTTCACTAGTAGTGAGATACAAAAAGTAAAAAGTTAGATATGCCTAGAAATATTTTTTTCTAAATTCAAGAATCTCCTACTTCAAGCTCTTACAGAATAAGAGAGTTAAAAAAGAGTTCAATTCAAGACCATTTACAATATTTTCATTGTTGGTGCCTATAGACTCGTTAATTTTATGCATTACATCCTTCAGCGTTTTTAAGTTGTAAAATACATTCTTTAACAAATCACAAAACTTTTCAACACTCAGAACCTTAAAAACGGTGTTTAAAAGAAGGTTGTGTTTACAGTATTATGATATCAAATTAGTTTGAGGTCACTCAAAGAATTATTATAAGATATGGAGATGACGCCTGTCGCAAGTCGAAGTTGTAGTCACAGCGGCCAGGATGCAGGCTCTGTAGTAAGGATGGTAGGTGCAAGTTGTACAACCCGAAAACACTAATAAAACAAAACTTCTATGTGTTAATTCACACAAGAGTTTAGGTCCAATTACGTGCTAAATTCCAAATTATAAGTATAAGATAAAGACGAGAATGCAAGTATTTTTTAAAACCAAGTTAAAAATATATAAGTACCTATTGCCCTAATTATTTTTACATTTAGAATTTCAATCAAAAGTTTCGTGCTCTTTATAGCAATTTTATTCATTGGAAAAAACGTTCCTCAACTTTCTAAAAGTAATCAAAATCATGCTATTTTATACTTACTTAGCCCTTAAACTGTTTCCAAGTTGGTGAAGAAGCCAGCTTTCCAATTAGAATGCGATTGGAAAAATGTTCATGTTTTGGATATATGGCTAAACAAAGACTATGCAATTAATAAATTGGTCGCATGTATTCTCTTTTCGAACCAGTTAGACAGAAAGCCCTCTTAAAAAATGTAAGGATTTCATAGTTTCGTTTTATCTTTAAAATAAAATTTATTTGAAGATGTAACTCACGATTGCTGTATTGTATCCAATCGTGCTTCTTAATCAGTATAATCGTATACGTATTGTTATCACACAAACTTTATTTTCAAACGATGGTTTAATGAGTGAAATTTACATAATTTTATTATATACTGAAATACTATTATTACAATGAGCACAAATTTGCTTATTAATCTAATTTGATTTCGGAAAGTTATTTTAAAATATTTGTTTATAAATATAATTAAAATTAGTAGTATAATTTATTAAATTATTTTAAACTTTTTTCAAATAAGTTGTGTTATTGTATAGCTGCAAATTCAAGAAGAAATATACTTATCACTTTATTTTAAAGACTTCTTTCGTCTTACAAAAAAAGTAAAATTTTGTTACGAGTGCATTTTGATGAATATAACAATCTTTCATACAAGAAAATATAATATTGTTAACCTGACTTTATATTTTATAACAGGAAGTCAAAATAAATAAAACACATAAATATAAATTAAACGTTTATTATGAAATGAAACACAGTGAGAAGTATTTAATTATTTTACATAACTCAACAGTTTGAAAGCAAATACTAAAAAATATATACAGAGGTTTTTATTAATGAAGACTATTCTGTTACTCAGCTACACCAAGTAATTATAATAGTTTATTCTTAAAGATAAATCTCACAAATCGTCAGCAGATTTTGCGTCAAAGAAAAATTAACATCGGGGATACCGTAATTCGAAATATTTATTATTACAAATTATATTATATGAAAATTAAGCCTGAAATAATTTTAAATATGTTCTGTATAATTTCCTATGTATAATAGAGACGAAACTTCTCATCATTCAATGTATTCACGGTGCGTGTGTCGGGTCCATCGTTGTAGAGAGGAGCTTCAACAGTGACTGGGACTTCTGACCTAGGTGTAGGTTTAAGGGGCACTAGCTTATCTTATTCTACGTAATGTATATAACAAAGTACAGACTATATTACAGACAGAAGCTTTTAAACGAGCTAAAATTATAAAAAAAAATATTCAATCATATTTGTCATGTATAAAATTACATATAACTAAATAACAAGTGTACAACCAAATAGAGTTTTTAAATAGAAATTCAGTTCTTTAATATTACCTAATTATTTTTCTTACAAATTACTTATAAGGTAAATATTATTAATTATTTATTTATTTGATTATTTATTCTTCATAAGTCACGATATACGTTCAACGGATGGAACGCCATTTTGTAAGTTAAACTTGTACCGACATGTTCGAACTTGTCCACAAATGGAAGATGATTATTCAGTGTAAATGATTTAATGGCGGGAAATTTGAATTATGAACAATTTCTGTTCTGACTTTATCATATAATTTGTTCTTAAAATTATTTTTTTTCGGTGTATGTTAGAATAAGGTTTTATCGTAAAATATGAAAATTAAATGTACTTTACTTTACTATTGGTTTTTCATAATAAATTAAATTGGTTAATCGTAGTGAAATATAGTTGTCATAAATCGATTAAGTCGCTATTCGTTTTGTCCTGCAAATAATTTTAAATGATTCATCAATTAATTTGATGGTTCTTATAAATCAATATTGAAAAATATTCATTTAAAGCTAAGGAGATAATACTTTACATTTTTATCGCGGGAAATAGTGTCTAGCTGTCGGTGATTTGAGGTCAAAAAAAATCTTCAGATCTTGATAAAACTAATACGGTTCGGTTAATGAAATTAAATGAAAATTTAATTTAAATGAAAATAAATTTAAATGAAAAAAAAATAAGAAATTTAAAATATGTACATTAGAAATTCTATTCCCATAACAGTTATTATAGAAATGAAACAGTACTATGATATAATATACAAAAAATGATAGTAATATGTATGAACATAAATTATAATAATTATTAGTTTGTATTTTTATTTCACTTCTTCGAGAATCTTCTCTAAAAAGCCGATACCTTTTATAGAAAAAGTTAATACACACACAAATGCATAAAAAATCAATTCCTAAAATTCCTAATAAAAATACCTTATTATATTTTATTAATCTTAAATGTTTATTAATAAAGGTAAGCAATATTTGACACAGATCGATAACAATATTTTATAACAATTGGATTATTATTATATTAATTTAAATAAGTGAGTTAGTCTTACAATTAATAAGTATATACACAATTACATAAAGTATTGCCACTTTAACAATATAAAGATATCAAAAACTATATTAAAGAGGAAAATCCTATTTATATATAAAGAAAACAAGAATTAAATAAAAATAAGATAAATTTTGTCAATTCAGTCTAAGCCTGTTTAAAAATATTAAAATAAAAAAAGTCAATATCCGTATCCGATCTTGTTGACACATCTTGTCTATGAAGTCAGATGTCATTAGTACAGCCGGCAGCCTGTGTGCGATACTGAACAAAATGTAAATATTTTGTGTAGTATTTACGGTTGCTGGCTGTATCTGTTAGTGGTATCTCCGTATCTTCCATCAAGTGTGAGGTCCATGCTGTGTGTTGCACGTTGTATATTCGTATAAGCGATAAACACGGACGAAGATCCCACCGACCCGCGCATGTCGGCCGAGCTGGGAATTTCGTCCGGGCGTAGCACTTGATACTTTTCTTCTTTCTTCTTATATATAAAACTCCGTTTAAAACATGTGACTCCTTGTCTCAATACGATAACCTCAATACATTGGATACATCACAAGCGAGCGTGTGTATTAATCATAATGCTATATTGTATACAAGTGTAACATTTACCTGTTATAATCATGATGTTATTGAGGTGAAACTGTTAGCGCGGCGGCTTCCATCGACCTTCGGTTGGCGCGAGGCGAGTGAGCGACTGTCTGTACGGCGCGGCCGGCGCAGGCGTCAGCGGTGAACGAACTCACCTTGACAAATGCACCATTTGGCATTGTTCGCGGGAAAACCGGCGGCCTTGCTCGCCGGCCGACGCGCGCCCGACCAATGGCGAGCCTTCGCGCCACAGCCTGCTGTCGTTTTGGCGGGAACCGCGGCCCCGGTGTGTTGCCGAATGGCCGCCTCGTGTCATCGCGCCGCTTTCAGTGTGACCTTTTAAGATTCCTTCATCACCGGCTCCAGCTGAGGGTTGGAGTCCTAACTACATGCAGCGATGGACAGTGGATACAAGAGACGCAAGATCGCGTCCCGGCATAGCAACAAACTTAATAACTATGTTATAATTACAAACAAGGCGTTGCCGCTCAGACCAATTATTCAATTAATAATAGTGCGCATTTTGCCATGAATACAGAATAGATAGTGGATATATGGACACGGTCGGCTGATTTTCACGCTGTTTAATGAGTCAAAAACAAATCCCGAGATATATTTTAGGCATTCTGTTTTATTACTATTATATCTTACGTAATATATTAAACGAGGCAAGAGAATAAACATCACTAGTTGTTATTAAAATAAATATAGATTTCAATAGATTAGTTCGTGACACAAGGGCATTGTAAATCAAATTACGTTCTATCAGCAATAACTTATTTGTAATCAATTAATCACTAACAAAATGGCGGATGCAGTTTTGAAACATTACGCGGACAGATAAGGATGGTCTTCAATATTATATTTTATTAAGGGTGAGTTTAGTTTAGCCATGTAATAAATCGGTTGAATAAAAAAATAGCTTCCCCTTATATACAAATATACACGTGTTCGTATTTATTCGACGTCAGATATATGTATACATTTTTTTAATATTTTTATATCTTGACGCAAAATCGATAAATAAATTGCTTAAAATAGTTATGAAAGCTACGAATACTAGTGCTACGGCGTAGCAAAACATTGTTATTGTTTTAATATATCATCTATATAATATTCTATATGAATTTTCATAAAGAAATTTCATAAGATCTCTAAGTGATTTGTAATTTGACTCTATTGGTAATTTTATTCATTACAATATGATATATTTTCGTATAGTAAGTAATCTGCAATTTTTTTTATCAATAGAATAAATTTATAATCTGTATTTATTACGTATATTAGAAAAAACACTGGCCAAATAAACATTAAAAAGTAAAAAGGAGGTATGTATGGAATGGATATTTTTTTTGCCTCCTCCGTTCCCTTCGGAGCTAACAGTCATGTTACCAAGCAATAAATACACTGGCTTCACTTAGTGACTCATGAGCCGGGCTCGGCTTATTGATACAAAAAAAATTATCACAGAGAGAGCTGGGCATTCATATACTTAACATTATATTTTAAGCATTAATTAAGTTTTTTTTCGAGACTTATTTCGAGATTTCGTGAACACGTGTCTGTGGTAAGGTATAAGTTATAAGGTATGAATATGTATACATAATAAGGTCTATTTTATTGTGTAATGATGTTAATTTGATATTAAGTAAAATAAAAAAAAAATTCTTTGACTCATATATGTAAATATAATAATTTTTAAGGGTTTGTTGCTTAATATATTTTGTTTATTTTTTCTATATTATTAGTTAAGTTATATATATCTCACCTGAAACAATGGATTGATAAAAATGATCATTGTAATATAAACATATAGCGGTGGTACAGAGCTGCGCCGGCTGAGTCAGGTGTCGTTAACCCTCGACGTCACCAGTTTAGTCTGTAATAAGCGTATTTCACACCAATGTGCATTACATCTGTCTTATAACATACATATTACTTTAAATACACTCTATAATAATTATAGGTCCAGAACGCATGCATAATATTGTGAATCATATAGTTTTTGTTGTATGAAATTTAAAAAGTTAATTTATCAAAGTCAGTCCGTCATTTTGACGTTTTAATGATGACAGAACTTTATTGACATTTCCTACCATAAGTTGAGGAAATACATACTAATAGAGTTATTTTAATAATTTATATTTATTTTTAAATGTTATAATTTTAGCTTATATGACCATATTATTTTAATCATCATTTTGTAAACGCGGTATTTCAATATAATGTTAAGTTTCCCTAATTTATTGTTTTCTAAAGTATGTATTAACCAAGTTTATAATGGTTGAATGTAAGTAATTCCCACAATAGTTTTGATGTTTCATAGAGTTGAGGCCAATATTATCAATGAATATTAATAAGACCTGCGTCCGGGAATATGACTCAGTCCGCGGTCAACCAATGCCTGTTTTTGACACACAATGTATAAACGATAAATATATAATAGAATATTAAGCATTTTTTTAAATGGTGTATACAGATAAGAAATTTAAATGATTTTTTTTTTATATTAATGTCGTGATATTCAACCTTTTTAGATTCGTTTTGCTATAAATAGCGTTCGAAAATACTGTCATTACTCACTTGTAGGTCGAAGTGTTGCTAGTTGTTATCCCGTAACTTGTGGATCTGAAATAATGATAAAAATGTTTTCAAAATGTTATATTTAGATCTAAATTCTTTAAACTCGATAATTCCTCGACAATATTCATTTGTGGTTTATAATAAAAATATATTTTAGAAGTTGGTTTGTATTAGTTGTAAGAACTTAAGGTTTACTATGCTCGCGAGTTCCAAGAATCGAAACCGTGCTAAACAAATTCTATCAAGTATGATGAGAATTTGTATGAGGAAAATATAGTTTGTTATTAATATTTAGGCATTGTATTTGTTTTTTAATAACAGTGACGGTTATTTGACTCAATGGTGAGTTGTTACGTCTCCCAAGGACACTGCAAGTGCTATATCGCCTTGGGAACTTGAAAACATGGAAAGGAGTATATTGTGATTTAGGGCTTGAAGCGTTATCGCTTAATCATTAAAAAAAAAAGGTTGACGTCGATATACCAGTTTCAATTAAATAATCTGTTTTTACCGGTTTTTGTGACCGGTTTTTGTTTTTTTATTTTCTTTGACTTGCAATGCTTTTCTTTTGATTTGCTATAATGGTGTTCAGTATGAGAGATTTTGATAAAATTTTCTCGCTTTTTAACACAATTGTTATATAAATACTAAAAGCTGTCAATTCAAAATATGTTTTTTTTTAACGATTATAAGATTTCCATAGAGAATGTTTTACTAAACGTATATAAACAAAATCTACATACGCTATTAACTATTAAGTCTTTCGGAAGTCAATGTTTTTTTTTCCTAAATTCATTTTAGTTATTTGAAACCGAGCCAATAACGGATAGCTGTAAAAAGTAAACATGTAAACAGTAACAAAACAAAAGTTTCGTCTTGGATCGCATCCAATACTAAAATACGATGTCAAATGCTTTGACAGATTAAAAATAGCGGGTGACTGTCTATTATTAGAGCAATGGCCACAAGTTATAGATCCACTTGTAATAAATTATTTGTGTGCAGATACATTGTTGCAAATGGCAAGTCTATTAATTATTTTTATATTTTTTTGTGTTGCATCTACCTAATTGTATTTGTTTGAATGTCAGTTCATTTTATCATTGTATTCGATTGTTACTAAGGTGTTTAGAAATTAGGATATTATATTATAGCTATGTTTCTCTCCGATACGTTTAAGGAAAGATTAAATATATGAATTAAACAATTGAGTAAATTTTAGTTCATTTAGTAAAAATCTTTATAACAGATTATAAAATATAATAGTTTTTTTTTGTTATCTGTATTTATATGAGAGATCATTAGAACACCATAAACAATGTATGAATCTATATTTCATAATAAAATACTGATATATTAAAATGTTCTTCTAATTATTCTTCAAGCGTGGCGATTTATATCAAACATCATGGGCGCCTTTTTAGATTGTTTTTTTAAACTTAGTTTATCTGTCAGTCTATTTCCTATGTTTATGTATCATCGGCGATGAACTAAGAATTACGTCAGTGGAAGAACGCATTCAAACATAAGATTATACTTACGTCATATTAGGAAATACAACGTGCAATTAGTTACATAGATGTTTAGATGGAAAATAAAACACTTTCAAAAATCACATTCAGTTTTGTATGTAGTAATTTGAAAATTAATATTAAAGGATAATGTTAGTTCTAACCTATTTATAATTAGATTCAATAATGTATTATTATTCTCAATTGACAAATCATATGTCAGAATTTAGTGGAAACAGGACGGAACGTAAGAGTTGCTAGTTTAAAAAATAAAATATGCATACAATTTCAACTTATTTTAATGGTTACGTAATTCGTTTCTATGATTGTGATTATATTGTTAAAGAATCAGTAACAGATCCACCAGCTGTGAAACGGGTTCTAGCTGTGCATTCCTCAGGGAACGCCAAGTCAGATGACGCCTGGCTGACGGTAATTATCCACACGTCAATGTACCAAGTCAATTGTTATAGTTCGTTCGAGTCACATGAGGTTTTATTGAAAACTTATGTCCGTAGAGTAAATTAAAATAAACAAACGTCATAACCTTATTTGTATTCTCAACAGTGAGTACCATTCGTACTATATTCAAACCTTTTTTCTGTCGTCTTCTTAAAAACTTTATATCAAATCACTATATACTTGTATACCTTTTTTTATTGGTATACATGTTTCATAAATGAATTAAAAAAGTGAACTTGACTGTTTTTTTGATTAAATTACCACGATAGTAAACCTCCTTGCTCATAAATATTTTATTTAATCTGTCAAACTAATAGCATCCCATTTAAATGCAGTAAGCATTAGAAGATCTGGCATTAAAACAGGACATATCGTACAGCTAATGGAGGCAGGTGTATGAATTTATATGAAACTCAGTTTGGCAGAACGGAACGACATTTTCTTTATATTCAATCTATTATTATCTGTTTACATTGACGTATGTTAATTAGTGGATGACTAACGATGACATTGTTTTCAGGAATTTTGTTTACAACGTTATTGAGTGAGATTTGTGGAAATCTTTCCAAAAGTTACGTTATAATTAATTATTGTGTTGGGATTTTTTGGTGCTAAAATAAATATGTACCAGTAAATATATAGAAACTAATAAATTATATTAATGATGAAAAAATCTTTCCAATTAGAGTTCATATAATTGTGATACTTTTATTTTTAAATTTAAATAATTTCAAATCATATGGTTTATAATAAGTTTATAAAATATATACAATTTATTATGTAGATGCAACTTAGTCAATAATGTATCTAAAATCAACAATAAATTTCGATAAGAAAATACATTATGAAGGAATTGACATATATTTTTCTCATACATAAAACATTTAAATTTATATACAAACAAACAAAAATATATCAGCACTTGTAAAAGTTTCTGAACGGAGGTATAAAATGTTTTAACTCTAACGAATAATTTTTGAACGAATATCTATATCAAATAATGCTATCTATATCAAATGCATTCTATATTCAAATTTCTAAAAAAGTTTGGATTCCCGCCAATTTTTTTACCGGAAAATGTAACAGCATAGGGATGTGCACATTCCTCTCTAAATATACGGATGACGTGAGACAGCGTCAGACTGAATCACTAGAACACCTTATTAATGTTCGGAATAACGTGATAATGTTTATTTATTAGATTTATATAATATATATACAATGTAAGGTTAATATTTCGATAAATTATGGAAGATTATATGCGTTTTCAAATAAATATATTAGTTTCACGATATTAGGTAAAAGTATTGTATTTTTATCCCTACTAATATTATAAATGCGAAAGTAACTCTGTCTGTCTGTCTGTCTGTCTGTCTGCTACGCTTTCACGCCTAAACCACTGAACTGATTTTAATGAAATTCGGTACAGAGATAGAGTTGACCTTGAGAAAGAACATAGGATAGTTTTTATCCCAGACTTTTGAAAGGTTCTCTTGGAAACGCGATATAACCGAACTCCACGCGGCGAAGCTGCGGGCGGAAAGCTAGTAATAAATAAATATGAATTTATTCCTTTAATTTCAATGTTTTATGTATTTAAGCGTATGTTCCTTGCTGAATGGAAGAATCTTGGTTCGTTCAAGTGAACACTAAGACATGTTCTATTCTCGTCATATTTTTTTATCTAAGAGCAAACTGTCTTTATCAGATAAGTATTCCTTGACGAAAACACGTTAATGAACTGATAACAGATAAGATATCATTTTATTCACCCACACAACGTCACAGATTTAGGGAAACCAGTGCAGATATTAACTACAAGTTATTTTGTTTTTTTCATTTGGAAAGGGAAAAGAATGATCTAAAATGAGGTAATACTTTTTCATTTCATAGTTTGGCTGTATGACTTAAGGTTGTCAGCACAATAAAATATCATTTATCGAAGAAAATAATTCAATTAAAAAACATACATGTATACTTCAAAACAAAACAAAAACAAAATGGCGGAATTTAATGATTTTTCTTATCTCATACGCATAATATAGATATCCAAATGATCAAAAATACTATATTAATATTATACAGAAGTTAAATAACCTTCAGTTTTCTCCTCAATAGAACAGGACATATTAAGATTGATGTAGAATAATTAACAGACTAAGTTATCTCAAAACTGCATTAACTGGCAACACACGTCACACGTCTCCTAAAAGGCTCAAAAGGACTCGTATCCAGAGCCGTAAAAACATTTACAAAAAATAAAACTTTCAACTGTAAAATTAATCCCTACTAATACTATAAATGCGAAAGTAACTCTGTCTGTCTGTCTGTTACGCTTTCACGACTAAACCACTGAACTTTTTTTAATGAAATTTGGTACAGATGTAGAGTTGACCTTGAGAAAGAACAGAACAGTTTATATCCCAGACTTTTGAAAGGTTTTCTTGGAAACGCGATATAACCGAACTCCACACGAGCGAAGCTGCGGGCGGAAAGTAATGTAGTAAATAAAATAACTATTAAAATTTCGATGATTTTAATATTATTACTTATTTATATAATGAATTAGAATGAATAAGAAGATTTCTTTTGTTTGTATGCGTGAGGAACGGGTTCGTGATTCATTAGGTCTAAGCCTCCCACGGTAAGCCTACTTGAGTATCTGACGAATTATTTATCAATTGATAATAATTATCGAATGATAATTTAAATATTATAAATCGATAAATATTTACACGAGTTTTAATATGGTATTTATCATACATAGTTTTTTGTCAAAATATTGCTACAAAATTGTTTTGAAATAAAAAAATATTATACATATATATGTACCTATATATTACTTGTTGATTCCCAAAGAGGGTTGATGTCAGGCAGGCGGCCGGTCGTAAAAACAATTACCCAAAACTATTCACAACATGTAAGGCAGACCCTGGCTAAAGCTGGGAAATTGCCAGGTAGAAGAAGAAGATATATATTACTTGTTGCTATGTTAGTAATAATATAATTATATATAAAACAAGTAGCGGAGTGACTAATCGCAGCCGGACAAGTCTGAACATGAAAGCCAGGTCGGCCTCCGCCCTCGGACCTCAAGTGATAACCTCTGACCATTTATATACCTTATGCCACTATCGGATGTCTTTATATGAAATATATAAAGATTTATTAGATTATATACCAATTATATATATATCAATTATACATAGATTTACGAATTTTCATTAAATAAGAACCAAGTATTAGATTTTTCCATATAATTTCATTTCCCTATAATATTATATGCAAAAATTTGTGTGCCTTTAAGTTGAGCATTTTTATAATTTGTATTGTTTTTATTATTAAACATTGCAATAGAATAATAATTTATCAAATTCATGTTAAAATTATACTCGGAATTAATAAAAGAAGTAAAAATAAATACAGAGAAACGTCACTTCATTGTTTTTTGTATATGAAACAGATTTATCACGTCACCTATTACAATTTTGGGTTTTTATTAGTATTCTTACTTGCAAAAAAATAAATATTGTAAACTAGGCCTTACAGACACTAAATCAAGAAGTAACCAATAACAACGTCTGTAAAATAAAAACAAAATGAGATTACTTGTTCTTAAGAAAATACGAAAACATTTTTAAAATCTGTCTCCAAAGTCTGAATTCACTTCACTTCGTTCACAAACGCGTCACAGATACACAATGACATATATTCTAACTATAATAATATTTTACTCAATATTTTATTACATAATTGAAAAACAAAAATCAAAATTTCATTAATATTAAATTTATCAGCCATTACAAATACAGATCACCAGAAACGCGGGAAAATTTACTTACATATTTTCCTGTTAGTATTCATAATGCATTTCCATTGAAATATTCGTCAGAACCATTTTGTTAAAATGTATAAAATATAAATCATCTGGATACATCAAAATAATTAATTTATTTTAGCGAGAGAGAAGTTTTAGGTATTCGTTTGATTATAAAATTAACCAAATGACAATAACTATGAACTATAGAATTATGCCTTATACATTCAGGCAGTATAAATATATTTTTTTCATATATTATTACTAAAACATTCCTAAATAGCAAATGTCTGTTATCTTTATATAATTGTCGCTAATAATTTCTATTCAGTATTGTTTGTGTTTCTTGCTTTGAATTAGTGTGTTCGTTATCAATACCAGTGACATTGCCACAAAGTTCAGCGCTCGGCGACGACTGTGTGACGTCACGAGCACGATACGCGTCTTAACCTTTACATAGAAATACCATCGGACTGAATATAAAGAAGATAGCATACACAATACACGACAGAACCCTAAAGATTCATTATAGAAAACAGCATATAACTTTCAAATAACTTTAGTAATTATTTTCCGTAATTCTATTACATCACTGTATAAATTTTGTGTCATTTGTTATAACTTCAATTTCACTACTTTCGCAGTTTAATCGTCGCATCATATGTATGTGTTTCAAATTACTTTATTCGTGAAGCCGGTGTCGCTCTATAATAGGACAAACGGAATAATGAATAAGTTGTGTGACGGAAACACGCTTACGTCATAGGAAGCGCCTCTTTTTAATGGTTCTCCGAAGACCGAGAGAGACGGAAAAGAGAGAAGCGGAAACAGTCGTCCGTCTGTCAATGTGGCGACAATGGTGTGCTATTTGTGTTAAAGGAGCGTTTTATTTCAGTGGGCCGCGGCGTGAACGTCCGCGGAGGTATTTCGGCCTCGAGGAATCCGATGCCGTTAGCTCGGTGAGAGCCTGCAGCGTGGCGACACCGAACTAAACATCCACAGACTATTATTATCTACCCGTCCGCACAAAAGGAAAATTCGAGATGCCGCTGACTCATTACCTTCACTGAGGCTGTCACATTTCGCATGGCAACACATTCTTTCCGTCCGACACGCTGGTTGTTTGCACGATGCACTCGGTGTTCCCTTACCTTGGAAGGTCAACCGTATATGGCAACACGAGCGCTGTTCACTCACTGTGCGGTCTACACACTGACACCGGACGACCGTCTCTACGTGTCGCGCGCACGGAACAGACTGCGCCGGCGCGCCATTTGGGTCACTGTCACTGTATGGAGGGGCGGCGTGCGCCTGCGCCCGCGCTGACACCACGCTGCTCTGAAATATTGGCGTCTCGCGAATCCGTCCACGCGGGCGTTTTCCTTCTCTGATTCGCGCCAATGTGCTCGCCTCCAAACTAGCTGGCGATTTTTGGCGGTCATAATCACATCGAACTGAACCTTATATCTCCTCGTGCTGTGACATTCACTGGACTTTACGTATATATTGAACATATTATAGATGTTTCTGTTTGTTTTTAATGCTCATACTCATATAACAATTATATATAGATACTTCGTTTCATTACCAAAGACTACTACTTGTTTAAAGAAAAGTAATGATTTCATTTCTTTAGTTTCAATTATTAAAATGAATAAAGAACACAAGAGCTTAAAAACTTAATTATAATAACCGTACAAAGTTCCCCCATAACTTACTGTTACAGAAATATATGTAAAATTAATCTTAAAATAAAAACTGTAGATCCGTTTTAATAATGAACGGGTTTTTTTGTATGATATTAATAAATATTATGTCAAAAACTGCTTTTTGTATGATTATAATGATAATTTAAATTTTCGGTTTAAACTAGCTTTTATTTACATTTCTAATACACTCGTATTCCAAATTGCTTTGCAGTAATAAGTTTAGTTAAATTTCAACTACAAAATAATATAAATTATTATCAATTTCCCTTCTTCTTCCAGTTATATTTGTTAAAAGAATAAAACCATAACTTATTTCTAACCTATTAAAATTATTATAGAATTTAAACGTTGATGGAAAACATTCTAAAAATTTACAACAATCCGTAGTTTGAATTTTGTATCCGTACTTTGAATCCATTTTTAGAAAAGGTATTTAAAAAGGAGAATTTATTTAAGCCTCTTTTGTTATTACCCCATAGTAATATGAACTTATAATATTTATTTTATGACAATATTATTATAAATATAAACTTACAAGAAGTTGATTCATATATGTTCTTATATGTAATTAATGAAAAAGAATGACATACTTTTGTTGGATTTTAATCAATATTTCTTAAGGATTTTATTTTAAATTATTCATAAACTTTTTTTTTTAATTTAACATTATTTAACAACATTCGACATTAGTTCTATCTTAGAAATGTACATGTTTTAAATAGTAAAGAAAAATAAATGCTGTAGTGCAAATAAGATATTTAAATAGCTGTCACTATCTTCGTTGTAGATTTTGTGATAAATATATTTCTATTATTTTGTTTAAACTATAGAGTTAGTATGTAATTTTTATACATATAATTTGGTCAAATAATTTCAATGTTATTCAAACTGCAATACATTTTCTATTAAACGTTAGAAGCACTTATTGAAATACGAGAATGTGTTTTATAGAAAAATATGTATACAGTAATTGTATTTTTATTCTTGTTAGGTATTTACAAAACATTAGAGGTCGTACGTGACCAAGGTCGATGGCTGTTAATATAAGACTTTCAGTAATTTTTTTCTATGAAATATTTAAAATTTAAATATAGTCACATTTCTGTAAAATCATAATTTAACATGAATCTTTAAAACGCTTTCCCAAAGTTTGTACCACATAATACATTGCAAGTTTTATAATTTTGTCATTCCTAAATCTTTGTAGTTCACTAAGGTAAGTTATTGAATGAGAATAGAAAAAAACTTCGTATGTAATATGAGGATATGATATTTTGCTGAGCTATATAATTTTTTAATTGAATACTCGCAATAATTTTGAATCTCACTATTGTATATTGCACTAAGAACATTAAATTTAATCTTATTTTTCTATAGAAATCTATAACACTGGTAAGTTTCATTCATTTTAAGTATAAATTAATTTACTTCATCACCAATTCAGTCCCAGTAAGTTCAAGTTATAGCATCAGCGCCGCTAGCTAAGCTTGTTCCATTCACTAGCGACCGGCGCCGAAGCGTCTGCACTAACTGAGAAAGTTGTTCAATCAATCACGGAATGTGATTTAAGAACAAAGAACTCATACGAGCTCTATCAGTGAGAGATTTTAGACAGATTTCATACAAATAGATAGACTTTACTTGTTAAAATTCATTCAAGTTTTATTAAATAAGAAGCTATCTTTATTATACTAGAACATATTTTAATTTCAATATATTTTCTGTCTATGACTATTCTATGATATAATCATGTTTCATGGAATAAACAATGTACATTGACAATGCATTATTTTGTTGAATGTTTTTCCGAAATTGTGATGTGCAACTAAATCATAAAATATACTTTAATGAAGAGAAAATTACTTAACTTAAAAATTATATAGTTCTAATAAACCTTAAACTTTAAAAACAAAGAGTTAGTTACACTTTAAAAGGACTGTTTTGGACTTTTTGTTGTACCTATATTATTATTTTAGGTTAATATGTACATTACACTTGGTATTTCTGGAACATAGAATCCTCAAAATGTAATGATAATAAAATCGTATCATACAAATGAAGATTGCAATGACGTATCTTTATAGTATGTGTTTGTTAATAATTTGACAAAAGTATAATTTCATTTTTACGTGTTTTGTCAATGTATTAATAATATTACAGTCATTACTAAATGAATACATGAAATAAAAAAGAATTTCCGTTATTGTCAAGACGGAAAATTCATAGTTCTTTTTGTAGATTAAATAAAATAATATACTATGTTGTTACTTGTTATTTCTTTGTCCAATTACCTTTATGTCTGTAATTTTTATGCTATTTCGTAAGAGTCAAACTAAAACCGTTTTATGAGTTTCAAATATTACTCCTTACAAACTTAAATACAGACATTAAATTTAACAAAATCCTCAACGATTTGGTATCACTTAAATAATAACAAGCCCTCAGGATGATCGTCTTTATCTTAAATTATAGGTTTGTTTATACATTTACTTAATATCCATAAAAAAACTTAGTTTAGTTTAATATGTATATAACAATTTTGTTTGCGTCATAAATGTTATTATATTTATTTTTGTAGAAACAATGAACAATCAATATGCTGACGAGGTAGTTCTGTAGGATTACATTACTAGACATTACTTCAGTAGATGTAACAAAACAACACTTGTTTATAATAGGTTGTTGAATATTGAAATAAATTTAAACGTGAATGTTGAGGATTTAAAGTCATGACTTCTATCACTCATCAGTGATTCTTGTACAGACTGTTGGTGATCAAACTTTTGCTGATACTGATCAATCTTTGGGTAATACTGTTCAAACTTTGGCTGATACTTATCACATACAAACGAATGGCGACGACACTGCTGTGTCTTCAAAGCCGTCCATGAAAAACATATCTACGAAACGATATAAATACCTCAAAAAGCAAAAATTTAAGTTGAAGATTTTGCAAAACAAGATATCATCCTGTTGTTGTTCAATCATTTACAGGTTTTAACGATCATCACCAAGAAGTCAAGATAGAAACTGAATCTACGTCAACAACTATAAGTACATATTTCGACAACTACAAATTTCAACAAAAAAGTCAACTACAACAGAACCTATTGTAATTGATACTATTGAAACCAAACACATAAGAAAATAATCTAGTGTACTCGTATAATCTCAAAAATAGAATACTTGCCATTCAAAGACTTTAGAAATTTCGCAATATACTTATGATGGCTGAAATCCTAAATTCTGAAGATTTGGTTGAACAAAATGTTACGACAACTACAAGCAAACCTGACACTGAGGACACTTTGAATGATAATGATCACACTGTGGGTGATACTAATGGCAATGTGGGTGATTTTAATCACACATTGACTGATATTGATCAAATTTTGTCTAATACTGATCACATCGTGTGGTGGTAGTAATTACACTATGGATGATACTAGTCACACTGTGGGTGATACTAATCACACATTGACTGATACTGATCAAACTTTGACGGATACTGATCAATCTTTGACTGATACTTATCAAACTTTAACTTTCACTGATCAAATTTTGACTGGTTTGCTAAGTCGAATCGAAGTGTGCCAACATTTAAAGTTTATTAAGACAAATTTAACAATTGAAGTTACAATATAACTATAAGAATGTTTTTTTGTTTTACTAAAACGGTATTTAAATTAATCGAGTTGTCTAACAATTTTATGTTTTATATTAAAATAAAAGATTTGCGGTGGTTAAATTATTTAGTTTTCTTTTTCACTCGTCTAGACTTATCCTCATATAGAAAGGTCTTATTACTGTAAAATTCTAAATTAATGTAAATAACATACTTATGTTTTTTTGGTATTGTAATAACAACTATGGTTTTATGATTAAATTAAATTTTAGTATACATTTAGTGTTATAGATTATTCCCAAAGAGGATTGATGTCAGGCAGGCGGGAGGTCGTAAAAATAATTAGCCAAAACTATTCACAACATGTTAGGCAGACCCTGGCTAAAGCTGGGAAATTGCCAGGTAGAAGAAGAAGATTGCATATAAATGTGTCAATATATCTAAAAATCCTGGTTTCGTCGATTTAGTAATATATAAGGACAATTAGGTTTTCACAGTTAATGTAAGTTTTAAGGTAAAACAAACTTGTTAGATAAATTAATGTTTAATGCGTTTATTTCTCGTAATAGCTAGAGATGTTCTTTTGGTATTATCCAACACCAGTCATACAAAATTCCGTAATTTATTGAATGTATGACTCTCACTAGACACAGCTTCGATTTGTCTTACTGATTACATATAGTCGAATCTTCTAGAAAATTCTATAAAGATTTTTGAATCGAAAGTTACTTTAATAACTTATTTATGTCAGATATAAAATATATTGGTTGTAGATATTCTTAATATAAAAATATTTCGTGAGCAGTGTATAGGTATAAATTAAGTTTTAAAACTTTAAGTTGTAATAATGACATTAAGTTCTTAAAACTTTTTAAATTTTATAATTACATTGTAAATATAGTCATGAGGAGCACTTAGAGTATTTTGAAGGTGTTTGATTTAAACGATATCTTGTTGGCAAATTGTAAAACGAAAAAATATTCAAAAAACTTTTCAAAACCTTGCTTGGATATACATGTAACCTAAATTTCTGAATAATAAATAAGGGAACTTCAAAGATGGAGGAA